ATCCCTCAGGAGCAGATACGTGGGGCACCAGCTTGAGGCCATCTCTGCTCTTTAGCCCTGAAGGAAGGAAGGCATGTACTGGCCTGCAAGAGTCCCAAGTCCAGTGTTTCCATCCTGAGCCTTCGATGGGTGCACCGGAGGAGAAGGACAGAGGAGCCCAAGGGACACCCTCAACTGGGAGAACAGAGCAGGCAGGGTGTGGAAAAGCCAAGCTCACAGGAAGGAAATGCAACCACTGCAGACCACACGCATATCTTGGGGGCAGTGGGGAAGATGTATATTGGTCAAGGGACCAAATGGCGACCAAGAGGTCACTACAGGTATGGACGGTTCTCCTAAGACAATGAGGAGAGGACAAAATTGTTCCCATTTTTGGATTATATCACTCGACTTTGGAGTATGGCTGGAACTATCCAAGCTCAAGAGGTGATTCTTGCCATCATGGGGAGGACCAGGTGTGAGGAGAAGGGTGCCTGAATCACCTCCATTGACATGCTRGGCCTTATGCCATGGAAACAAGCAAGGCCAGGCTGCAGAGCCCTTGGTGGGTGTTAGGTCATTGCAGAGCCAGCTGCTGTCAATCTGTGCCTGGCCAGGCCCCAAGGAATGAGGGGACATGTGTGTGTRTGTGTGGGGAGGGGGGGTTCCAGCAGTGGGTGGCACATGTGGGTGGACATAGGGAATGGTGGGCACAGAGCTGGTGAATTTCAGCTCAGAGGTATGAAGTTAATTCCTCTCTGAGCTAGAAGTGGCTGAATATGTAAGGCAGAAAGGCCACAGGGAGGCAGATGCAGCACGATAGGCCATGGCCCTCCCTGAGCACATCGTGATCCCAAAACATGGAAAACATGGTGGCACAGTCTCATCACGAGAGTAGAGGGTCTGAATTCCTCCTTACCTGGTTGAGTCTGCAGCATGAGGACAGTGTGAAAGCCACTGCCCAGATGAGTCCTGTCCCATCCCTTCACCCAGCTCCCACCCCAACTCTTTTCCTTCAGACCTCTACAGACCTCATAAGGTACTTGAGCCCTTCTTCCCAAATAGCCTGAGATGGCCCCAGACAGCAGCCACACCCACACAGAGCCCAAGTCCACCTTGAGTGGTGACAGGCTTCAAAACCTTAATCTGGGGTAACAAATTCCTTCTTGGCAATGTCAACTAAGATACATGTGGCCACCCAAGTTACTGGGACCTTGCCCACCTGATAGCCAAGCTCCAGTCTATAACCACTTCTCTAGGGCCACAATGTGTGGACTGTGTCCAGCTGGCTGGGGCTCCATACACTGGGCCATTAGTCCCCATAACTCTTGGGAACTTCCTGAATTTCCACGCTGGAGTATCATTGTAGATATCATGGTGGGCCAGGGGCTACCACTGGGTCACAAGAAATCCCTTATCCCCGATTTCTGGGAGCCAAGCTTCCACCAAGATCCATGACTAGAGCAGCTGCCCCTCCTTGTGAAAAGGGCCTCCTTCAAGCCCCCAGCCCAACATCCCTTTATCCTGTCTTCTGGCAGCTTCTCCCCATTCTGGCCTTATACAAAGTCCTAACAGGGAGGCAGACCCTATCTCTGCAGGGAAGGGGTGGAGAGTACCACCTGGCAGGAAGCAAACTTGGGAAAGCTAGGAGGCTCCAATGGCTCATTAGCCTCTCTTTAATGTGCAGTCACTGTGCCCATGTTTTGTTTAAGGTTCTAGAGAATGAATGATGCTGGAGTGTAAGGGGTGGTGGTGGTGGTATCATCTTTCTCCCTTATCTAGTTTACACAAACCTGCACTGTGGGACCGGGTGACCAACAGCCCAAGGCAGAGTCTTGTGATGAGCTGCCCATCAGAACTAGAGCCTATCTATGGTGACCCTCGGTACTTCAGTTCTGCCACTTGTGTGTGTCATGGTGCCACAGAGCATGTGTCATAGCCAGGACTGCACCTGGGAGCTGCTAGTCCTGCTCTTTAAATCTAGAGGAACACGGTCAATGAATTTGACAGGAGGGGTCATCAGCCTCAGAGGAAGCATGGGCCTTTCCTGGAGAAAGGATGGGGACACCGGCTACACAGCCTTGCTTCTGTGACTAGCATGAGGTGTTGGACCACTAAGTCCCTGAGGCTTCCTCCAGCTCTGGGTAAAAACACCTAAGACTGGGTGAAGTACCAGGATACCAGCCAACCACCTCCTGGTCTTGGCATCTTACAGCCCTTCTCTAGGGAAAGTAGTCTTGGGCCCACTCTGCTAGAAGCCATACACTTGGGTGGCCTTATGAACCAGCTGATGGTACCCACAGGTCGACCACCACATATGCTCTTCCCACCATGTACACCTGCATATCCACTGGCAAAAACAGGAAAGAAAGCAAATTTKGGGGATGACCCCACAGTAGTCCTGGCAACCTAGTACTGGTTTGAATCACTGTCCAGTCTGGGCTTTGACTCAGCCACCTCAGCAAACAGAAACATGAGCTTCCTTCCAAGAGTGAGGAGGCCCAGGGATCCCAACAGGTCAGCACCATCTGGCTCTATGATGGTCTCCTCCCTACCCTACAAAGGCACAGCAGGGAGTTGTGGGCCTGCAGCCAGTTGGCCAGTTTTTCCTGGCACAAGGACCTGGGTGTATGCAGTGGGGGGACTTGGGCCTTCATCTTGGGAGGGATGAGTGGCAGGCCTACTCCCTACTGGGCACCTGACACACCAAGAAACCATGATGCCAGGGTCCTCTCATCCCCTTGAAGGAAAGGCCAGTGTGTTCAATTTTCATTCTTATTATAACCAAGAAAATGAGACAAAATGTTAAACCATGTTAGTATGAGCTGGCTGAGTGAAATCTGGAAAAGTAGAATATTAATTTTTTCTTCTTATTCCTGAGACTGACTGCACCTTCCTAACCAGGATTGACAGGAGGCACCCTGGGGCTTTCAAACCACATTCCTATGGGGTCATTATGGTATTCAGCAGACTTTCCAGGGCAGCAGTCTAGCTCAAACACCTGCTCCCCAGATTTTTAGTTAGATAGTGGACATCAATCTTGGCCATGGGAAATCATACCCAACTCTGCATCAGTCCCCCAGCTATGCAGGGCTGCTAGGCCTCTGACCAAAGGGGAAAGGGTTTATCAAGGGCTGACCAGACTGTACTGAGAAACTTCATGCTCTTTATTCACAAGAGAGCCATCTCATCCTTGGCTGAGCTGGCTGCCAGCTGGCTTGCTGGGGGAGCAGATTTGAGGTGGGGTGAGGGTCTGTTCCCCAAGCATGGTGTCCTGGCCAGCGAGTTCTCTGTGCAGCAGCTGACGCCTCCTGGACACATTTCCACAAAAACACTTCTTGAGCTTTTCCCTCCTGCATTCTTAGGGGCAAATTACTGAAGATCTCTCTCCTTTCTGGAGGTTCTTTATGGCCCTAAGAATGGACAATTTCAGTTAGCTTCTGATATATTCTTCATTTGATAAATACTTCTCACACCCTCAGGTCCTGCCCACTGAGAATGAGCAGGGTCAGAGGAAATAAGTTCTCCCTGGAATGGGGGAAGGACACAGAATGGAATAACCCGAGATCTGATGGGGTTCTGAGTCAGATGTCAGGCTGTCTTGGTGGAAGACAATGCAGCTAACCTGAAGATGTGCACCTGGAGGATCTGCGGCAGTGCAGAGGTGCCTGGAGACCCACGGGCTGGGAGATTGGTGAATAATGAGTGAAGGTGCCCTGTTCACCATCCAGCAGGGCCATTCAGAATTCTGCACTCAACCTGAGCCTTCAGGTAAACAGAATTCCAGACCTATTTGAAATTATGTCAGAGCTAGTTACATTCTTTTATCTGATCAAAAGCTTATAGGATTTCTGAAAGCTGTGTGAAGTTTTGCCAGGGCTTTTAGGCTGGATGGAAAAGATTCCCCATTTTGGTGTTGGCTGTATACTGGGGCCCAAAGCCTCATGATTAGAAATTGTGGGTAGTGACAACTCACAAAAAGAACTGTAAAGAGCAAATGCCACACTCAGAACTGCTTAAATACAGATTTATTGCAAACCAACACAGAGGAGCCGGAGCAGCTTTGCAGGCTGGACACCCCACTCTCCTGGGCCCCTGGACAAGGGGGATGAGTCACCCCATTTTCCTCAGACCTCAGCTGGTGGAACTTAGTGGCCAAACTGCGGCTGTCGTGTCTAAAAAGAGAAAATAGGCAGTGTGCCAGCTCCAGAGGCTAGACAGTCCAGCAGGAGCCCCAGCTTGGAGAATCATCCCCCAGCCTGGCTAGGAGTGAACCAGGCCAGGAACAAGGCTTGTGGGCCCAGAACCCACAACCACACTGTGTACCCAAGGACCAGACCAGGCTCCTGCCACACAGCTAACACCCAACGCTGCCCATCTCAGCTACTCTTTCCTAAACACTGGTTTACTGTTTGTTAAAAAAGGGCAGGGACTGGGAAGAAATGCAACACAGAAAGTAAATCCAGGCAAAAGGAAGACAAGTCAGAGAAGTGAACAACTCAGTCTCCCAAACAATGAGGAGCAGGGCTCACACACCTCATCCCTCCTGGAAGACTGTCCACAGGGAGGGGGGCAGGGAGGAGGCAGCCAACTCGGGAATCACAGATAAGATGGGAGACATGCACATTCATCCCGAGACCTCTTTTTTGTTAGGTGTGACAGTTGTATGGGACAGTGTTTTGCAAATCCTAGGACCTTGATGAAACTTCAGGAAAAAACAACAAAGGTTTCTTCAGAATCTCTTGAAGGTGAATCAGTTCTGCTTCCTGGGGTTTAAGATCTCTTCAGAGGGGCCGCACTAGCTTGGTGACAATGTCAGACAGCAGAGCTCTCACATTTCAAAGGGGGCATTTGGGGTCCTCTGCTCTCCCTTGACAGTCAGTATGACATTTCTGGACCCATAGAATACCTCCCAGAATGTATGTATGTATGTATGTGTGTGTGTGTGTGTATATATATATATATATTTGTTTTTTAGTTGTAGTTGGACACAATACATTTTTTTAAATTTATTTTTATGTAGTACTGAGGATCAAACCCAGGGCCTCATATATGCTAGGTGAGTGCTCTACTGCTGAGCCACAACCTCAGCCCCAGGATGTACTTTTTATAAGGGCTGTTGGCCACCACTGTAAACCAGAAATCTAGCCCAAAATGACTACAACAAACTAGATCCTATCTACACAGTTCAATGTGGAAGCCTTTGGAAGGATGTCCCACCAACTCGTTCTCCTAGACAGTCCCTCTTGAGCATTTGCAGAGAGCTTGCAGGCCAGTGCTCTTTGCCAAGAGCAAGTTGCCCAGCATCTTTAGGCTTTGACTCCAGCTGGCCGTGGGTATAACCAGGGTACAAAGACTTGTGGTGTGACTTATTCATACACTGAGGCTGGCAGCTAGGTGAATGGACAGTGCTGGGCACTGATGATACCACATTCCTGGTAACAGGCAGAGAGAGTCCTGTAAGTACTTAGAGCACCTGGAGCCCAGCCCCTCAGTCAGGTCTTCATAACTTGGCTAGAGTCAGTGCTGTGGCTCAAGGCATGGGTTTGGGGATACTGAGATGGTACCTATTCCCTGGACAACAGGAGGGACAGACTAGGAGATCCAGGGAGCACAGTCCAGTGCCTGGTATGAGGGTCTTCAATTTCTTGGGATCTGTCACAGTGGGACAGTGTGCCTTCGTGCCTGTATAGAAATTCCTCTTCCTGAGGCACGCGAGGTCAAGGCTGCTCAAGGTTTGTGGCTGACATGATCTGCCAATGAGCTGCTAGACCTGGTGTGGTCTCCTGAGGATGCCTGGTTCTTGCCCATGCTTTGACATAGCACACCCAAAGAGGTCACACAGGGAGCCAAGCAGAGTGTACCATGCAGTGGTGGCCAGGCTCAGTTCACTTTAACAAGAAACAAAGCAAAGCAGCCGCAATCCGAGGGCAGACAGAATTCCCACTGCATCTGGGCCTGAGACCAGAACCCCAGACTTTCTCCCAACATCAAGAATGTGAAAATAGGACTGCAGTTTCTGCTGTTCTGCCTATGCGGCCGAGGCAAACAGAGCACATTTACAAATGGATGAGCAAGACTGCACGTGAACATACCTAATGAGGTCAAGGGGTACGGGTTTCCCACAGCGGCCCCAGCAGCAGCTCCACAGCTGTTCCCCACTTGCCTTCATGCAAGTGCTGCACCCCACACACTTCAACTTTGGCTTCGTCCAAGAGCCCAGCAACTCCCCACTCCCAACCAGAAGAAAAGCAAGCAGAATAGCATCAAAACAACAGCAAGCAGAGAGCAGAGGAGGAAAGAAATGCTGCCTGCAGTGGCTGGTTGCTGTGGAGACGAAGCATGTGCTCTCAGTTTACTGGGACGTGTCCCTCCTGCATTTCAAACACCTTCATTCAGTGTTGGCCGCAGCGGCCACCAGGCAGCAGCTGGCCCCGCACCTTCTCTGGAACAGCCTGGAGGTGCAAGGTCAGGGTTGATGGCCTGGTTCACCCTTAAAAGAAAGGATGGCTAGGGGTGAATGAGACGAGCAAGTCCCTGGCACACAGGGAGCTGAGAGAGAGGGACAGCTGAGAACAAAGCCTCTGCCTCCCTGCTGGCGAGTTTCCTTTCCTTCTGGTCATTAAAACTGCACAGCCCCCGGGGAGATGTTGAACATGGCTGGGTCGAATCGCTGGCCTCGGAAGGGAGAGCCTTCAGCATCCCACCCCTTCTTCAGCATCTCATGGACTTTCTACAAACAGAAAATAGAGAGATTAAAGGGGATCACAAGGGACTGCATGCTTCCTCCCAGAGCAGATGGATTGCAGGAACAGAATTGCTTCCTCAGGGATTGGGAACTTGCCCCATAAGACAAACTGGCTGGAGGACCGTATACCCTCCAGCAGCTCAAGACCAAGGGAGGCACTGGGTGACTGCCAATTCCTGTAAGACTGCGCTCCCCACAGACTGAATTTCTAATCCTCTCTTCTGTCTCCAGTAAAGCAATGACAGCGCTCTGTGGTTCACTTCTTCTTTCCTTTTCTACCAGGATTTCTGTCCATATTCCAAACAGCCTACAGAGCCTAGAACCCCACTAGGCATTTTCCCATATCGCCTTCCCAAAGGAAAAAGTTATTGTCATTGACAACTGCCATCATCACACAATTCAAGGTTGACCCAAGATGTGGTGCAGGAGGAGAGACCTCAGAATGTCCAGTAGGGAATCCACCAGTCAAGAATGTCCCACTATTTCCTTGGGGACCTAGTCAGGGGTGACAGACTTAGCTCCTTTCTAGCACATGACTACTGCAGAACGCCTAGCCTCCAAGTGTCAGCAAGCAGACCATAGCAGTATGGCCGTAGTCAAGGGACATCAGGAAGGCTGTAACCCTGAGGGAGGCACCTGAGCCTAGGCTGGTGGGCCAGCCCTTCTCTAAGCATCTGTCCTCCTCACCTGGTCACCTCAAGTGTACCCACAGATGGGGGATGATCTCTTCTTTCAACCACAAGAAATGAAGAGGCTGATGTTATAGGGCCAGGGGTTATCCCACCAATGGAGTCTGTGGTTTCTGTTGCAGAAAGCCTGAAGAACAGGCCTGGAAGACAGATACACAACTCTAACAAAAATTCCTTCTGGATTTTCCGCACCACAGCTTCTCCTTGTAAAATAAAACCTTCCTGACAAGGGGGCTTTCTTTTTCCTAGTAGCAATGAGCATGTTGGATCCGTAACACATATTAGGGACTGATCAGTATTCTCAACTTCTTATAGATAACTCAGATCAGAGCCAATGGAATGACCACTTTAAGGCACTGCAGTGGGGTCAGAGCAATTAGCGCATACCAAGTGACAGGGGTGGCAAGGAGGACTTCAGGAAGCCCCTCAGCACAACCCTGATGGCCTGGCCAACAGGAAGCATGAAGCTGGATGGTCTCAACCAAACATAAGAATGGACCTGACATGCTAAGCAGGAGGCCACAGGAGGCCTCTATACCCTAACAGAGCTGTAGTCAGCTGGAGGGTGAGGGGCAGCTAGAGGGCTAACAGTTACAGAGCTGTACAGCAGCCTCCTCTGACCCCAAGAGTCTGGAGGCTGTGTAGAGGCTCAATGTAGGAAGCCAGATGTAAGGAGTAGATTTTTAGACTTGATCTTAAAATTGTTGGAGCCCAGGGAATCAGGATCAGTGTCCAGACCTTCCCTGGAGCAAAGGTGGAGAGTAGACATTCCTGTACATCACCAAATTCACTCGTAGGTCCAGCCACCATATTAATGCTGGCATGTGCTTGCGCGATGTCAGTTACTGACTTTTAGGGTGAGTTCCACCCAGCTGGAGATATTCTAAATAGACACCTCTGAGTGCAGACTGAACACCTGTGCACTCCACCCTCCCTTTCTAGATGAGAAACCTGCTCAAAGAAATTAAACTGGGGAAAAAGATGAAGGGGAGTAAACTTGTTAACCTTGAGAAGAGGTAAATTCACAGTGACATCAAAAAATTTAAAGCAACAAAAGAAAAGTGTTATCATTTTGAAATTAAAATGCTTCAAAATACATAGCATCTGTGGCATTAGAAGCACAATTTGAAATCCTGGCAAATTTAGAAAACTCTGAGTTCACACCATAAATGGGCATCAATGCCAGAGCACGTTGGTAACTGTGACTACGCTGATGTGCGGCAGCAGATGGAGGCTGACAGGAGAACCTGGCCCTATTTCCATTCTCTCTACTAGTGAGGCCTGATGATCCTAGCGCAGCGACCTTGACCACCCACCTGACTTTTTGGAGGGTCCTTCTGCCCATGAGGTACCCTCATAACAAAGAGTAAAGTGTGACTAAATTATATGAGGCCACATAAGGGTATGGACCTTTCTGGGTCTATTTCTTCATTTGATAAAAAAGGAGCTAAGGATATTTTATATGGAACCCATAGGTTGTCAGGGCCCCCATGAACTGAGGACCTTTCCCCAAGCTGTGCCAAGACCAGTGAGGAGCTGACACTTTGGCATTGGTGTCAGGCAGGTTGTGGGATACACATTCTTCTGAATGACAACAGTTCCAAGAAGGGGGTTCATTAAGACCCACAGCCTAGGGGCATGAAGCTCTCTGGTCATCTAAGAGTAGGTCAGTCCTGGTGAGGAGTCACCCAGAGTCCTACTCATGGGCTGCCAATCCTGGGCTGCTGAGGGTCTCCCAGGGTAGACCTTTGGGCAAGGTCATACAACCCCTCAAATATCAGCATGCTGCTTGGACCATGTTGCAAGTTCATGGCTGAATCAGTTTAGACTCAAAACACAGATCTATGCACTAGACTATAGTGTCCTCAAGGTTCTTCTTTGGATATTTCCTAATTGAGTTACTTCCCAACCCCTAGGCTCCCCAATGCTGGTCACAATCAGTTGTCCAGCCGTCTATAGATATAGCAAGCCATCTAAAGCCCAAGGCAGTGCTTTTTCCTCTATAGTACCATGGAGTCCAGGGGGAGGCTGCATGTAAGTGCACAAATACATGGTGCACATGTATGGTATATGCTGCTGCTACTTCTTGCCCGGTGAAGCTAGTCTTTTTAGTAAAACTTTCCTGGAAGCTGCCTCAGTTTTCTAGGGATAAGCAGCAGATGATTCTGTTCCCAGTCCTGGGCAGTGGGCAGAATAGCAGTCACCAGAACAAGTAGCCCTCCGACCCCCCTCCCCCAACAGGACCGCAAGAATGAGAAAAACAGAGCATCCTTTTCCTGAAGAGGACCATCAATAAGACTGCAAAGCTGGACTGAACTAGTCTTTGGAGAGATCAGATTTAAGTGGCAGGACTCTCCATGCTTTCAAGGCAGATCTGTGTCTGCCCTTGCTGAGGATGCAGAGACTAACACCATGTCCAGCTCATGTCAGCTCTCAAGGACAGTGACACTGGGCAAAGCCAGAGGACATCAGCACTGAGTGTAAAGAAGGGAAAGAGAGAATGAGCCAAAGGTCAAGAAGAAGGAAGGATACAGGGAGGGGAAAAAAGGAAACAGAGAACAAGAAGCCCCAATACTTCATGTAGATCCTGTACTATTGGCAACTCCCAGACAAATGACATTACTGGTATTTTGCAGATTACATCTGCAAGAGATGTAATCACAGGGACCTTGAGGGCAGAGATGCAAAAAGTCGTAGAACATTCTAGCTTATATCATATATCATAGTTAAGTCTACCAAGACCTCACTGAAGCTTGGCGCAAATATAGTTGAAGCCACAATAAATTTAAATTTTTAGTGTTTCTCTGTAACAAAAACTTGATGTTGGCATCTGGGGAAGATGTGAGGATCTTGGGTCCTTGTTCTCTCTGTCCTGTGGCACAAATACATGCTTCTGAAGAATGCTTGATAGGATTTCTTTCTCATTTTCTCAGCACAATGGGCATCTGCATGTATGCTCTCCAGTCAAAATAGTTTCTCCTTCCAGGGAAGTCAACCTCAGCCCTCTGAGTGCTGACCCCAGACACAGGATGGACTGGTCCTCAGGCCCTACCCACAGGGCAAAGGCTCACAGGCAAGGGCAGTGGCTAGATTAAATTGCAACCACTTAGTTCTGGCTGTCCACATGATCTGAGATGATGCTGGGAGCTTTCTGTGACTTCTGTACCACAGAGACCCTGAAGAGATGTTGTTCAACCAAACTGTGCTCTAGGTGAAAAAGGGGGCCAAACCGAAAGGAACATTCTCTTCCACAGAGGAATGGGCTGAGCTGAGGGAGCCAGGTCCACAAGGACAGGAAGGTCTGAAATTAGATCTGGGGTCAAATCCTACCCAGGCTGCTTGAGCTGCCTAACCATATTCTGAGACCTTGAAAACTCAATCTTGGGGCTAGGGATAATGCTCAGTTGGTAGAGTGCTTGCCGCACACGCACAAGGCCTTGGATTCAATCCCCAACACCACACCAAAAAAAAAAAAAGCAAGCAAGAAAGAATGCTCAATTTTGCTTTTGTGGGGGGGGGGGACCATCATTCCAGGAGTAGTGTGCAGAGCCTACAGCTAGCCAACCCACCCCACACATACATAGTATGTGCTCACTACATGCCCTGGTGTGGCAGGGCCTAGGAAGGAGAGGAAAGCAGCAAAACTTCCAGGCACCTCAACCTTATAGAGATAGGGACATACCTGTGAAGATAGGAAACAGTGGCTGACAAAGCAGCAGAGTATACAGAAGCCCCCAATATGTATTGCCACCCCAAAAAGAAAGGGAGAAACCACAACATGAGGCTTCTTCCAGAGACAAAGAAGAAAATATGAATCTGTGTGGCTTTTTGGACACTGACCCATGCCCAGCAGCTGACCTTTCCCTACTGATCCAAGGCTGTATTTGGTCCATGTGCATGCTACTGTCCAAACCTACAGCACTGTATGGATAAACCCTGGAAGGTGACAATAGGAAAAGCAGCCTTTTCTTCCCTAAGGCGCTACCTGTAGGATTATTAAAATAAGGAAAAGTGAACATGTTTTTCTAATCAATCATTTTCTTTGCTGGGTCAGACATGAACCAGCCTCCTGATCCCCCAATAGCTGCTGACCTCATACCTCCCCAGTCACAGCCCCAACATTCATTCACAATAAGTGAATTGCTAGCTACCTGCCTTATATCAGGCCCTCCACAGTCAGAAACCAGGCTGGCCCTACAGGCCGGCTCTCCCCTCCTCCACTGAGGGGCCCATGGAGCTCTAGGCAAGTTATGTGTGGATGAGGCACAGAGGTAAGAGCTGTCAACACTAGACATTTCTAGGCTCCAGTGTGGGCAGGGCACATTGCATAACATCCTTCCAGGTCCTGCCTCCTGGGCTCTTGGCTTGGATATGAGAATGTGGCTGGAATACCAGTGTGTATCTATCCTCAGGCAGGGAACAGGTGATAAAAGCAGGTAAGAAGGGGCCCCTCCTGGGCCTCCTGAGCCAAGACTGGCAGGGCAGCTTGTGGTACAGCAGGCTGAAGCAAGGCTGGCCCATCCACCACCCTCCTCCCCACCACCAACACTGCCCACCCCACTGCTGCTAGCAGTCTTGTCACCAGGGCAAGGAAGACCGTAGTGTGCATACCAGCTCGTGGCTCTGAGGCTTGCCCTGTAGCTTCTGGTGGTAGTCAAAGGTGAGCCTATCTAGGACTGCCTGCTCCTCCTCGTCCACAGTAGCCATGGAGCGCTCCTTGTTGATCTTGTCGATGTCAATGGGCTCCTCTCCCTCCAGGATGGCACTCCACCAGTACTCACCCACCTTGCTCAGGTTCACCTGGGACAAACAGGATAGAGAACTATATTAGGGATGGGAACTGATAGCCATGGGTCAGGTCTCCAAAGCTAGGGACAGAGCAGAGAGGCTGCTGAGAGACAGACATTTCAGGGTGAGACCAGGATCAACCATTCAAAGGAAGGCGCCATACAGGAAAGAGTGCCAGAACACTTTGAGCCCAAGAACATAATGGGAGCAAAGAGACCTACATCTTGCAGGTACCTCAGACCTTCACCACCAGGTCCCAGATCCTCAGAGTCAGAATGATGCCGACAATATGTGCCCACCCTGTCCATACTCACAAGAGGATATTCTCTTAAGAGATACTCCTGGCCCATCTGGACCTAGTCCTGGTCCACCCTAGCCTGACACAATCTTGCCATGAAAAGCCTATCTGCAGTGGGCAGTAGCGCATGCCTGTAATCCCAGTGACTCAGGAGACTGAGACAGAAGGATTGCAAGTTCAAGGCCAGCTTCGCAACTTAGCAAGCTACTGTCTCAGAACAAACAAACAAACAAACAAACAACAACAACAACAACAACAAAAATATATACATATAAATTAAAAAATTTTAAAAAAGGGCTGGGGATGTAGCTCAGTTGTAAAGTGCCTCTGGATTCAATCCCCAGTAATCTCCCTGCCTCACCCCCACAAAAAAAGTCTATATATGTACGTACGTGCCTCTCCAGGTCTTTACTGCCTATTTGGATCTTGTCCCTGCCCAACTCTTATAAACCACCTTCTACCTCAATGATCTTTCTTGCTTCCAAGAATAAAGTTTCCTGCCATCTCTTGATGTTCTTCCTTGCTCCCTTACTGCAGTTTCACTTAGCTTTTGAGTTTCTGTTATTATGGGAACACCAGTCTCCTGCCATGTTTAGGTGACTGGGACTTATAAGACGAAGAGCTTGGCCTAATGTACGACAAAATCTCCCAGGGCCCCCTCACTCCCCAACATGGGGCCCTCGTGCCCATCTCCATTCCCTCCCTAGAGCTGGGTTTGCTTTCTGTGGGGAGTTCTCCAGATCCACAGGCAGAGATGGCTCTGGGAGAAGAAGCCCCATTAGGAGTGCCCCAAAACTGGTCCATGCCAATTTGGGCACCTCTCCAGGAAAGCCCAGACTCACCCAGCCTCACAGTACAGTCCTTAGTGTTGAGATCTGCAAAACTCATTACAGAAACACAAAGCAGAGCGGGACTAAAGCAAGGGAGCAAGGAATTAGCCGTGTACCATAGTTTGTGCCCAAGGGTACCTGCTGCTCAGTCTGCCACAGAGACAAATGGCAAGGCCCCAGATCCACAGAGACAAACAGAAAAGAGCCAGGACACACTATACCCTGAGGTCAATCGTCATAGGGATGTACAGGGAGTGGGCAAACTGGCTGTATCCCTCATGGTCAGTAGCTGGGTTCATAAAAAAATTCTTACCAGAGAAACCATGAAGGAACAAGTGGATTTTTCCCCACCTTGTCCTGTGACTCCAGTGGGATGAAACTGTTTAGTCCTCACAGAAGGGAGAAAAGGTGGAAAAGACTGCCAAGTGAGGGTAGCTCTTCTCACAGACGTGCATCCAACAGAACCACTGACCAGGGGTGAAAGCCACACTCTAGGCAATCATGACAGATGGCCAAGAGTATCCACAGAAGGTGCCACCTGTTTGATCAGAGATGTTGTGCACCCCATAGGGAGCATGGAGTCCTAATAGGGTCCCTCTACCTCCCATCTTTGAGCCCCTGCTGACCAAACCTACCCACACCAGGCTGAGGTGGAAGGGGCTATAGAACACACACAGAAGGGAAAGTTTTTCAGAACTAGGAAAATCAACACAAAAACTTGCAATCATGACATAAGGTCAGCATCTCAAAACCCTCCATTCCTGGCTCCCAGAGCAGAGGGGGAGTAAAGAAAAGGGGAGATTGCATATGCCACCAGATGACAGCTTCACTAATAAATGATTCCTGTTCTGCAATGCCCAATTTAAATTCAGGATGAAACTTCCAATCCAGATACTCCATTGAGCTGGCCTATTGCTAACTTCAGTTTGTACCTTCAGAGACTCCAGGCTGAGAACTCTGCCCCATCTTTAATGAGCAGAAAGCATAAAAAAAAAAAAAAAAAAAAAAAAAAAAAAAAAAAACCCCCTCTCAGGTTGGAAATACACTGTTTCCAGTTTCAGAGATTTTTGAGGCACTTATAAAACTGTAAATTCTGAAAAGATTTTGAAAGTTTTTACTATTATTTTCTTTAGTAATTATCATTACTGAGAACTACACAACATACTATTAGAATTCAGAAGCCCTGTAACATGCACACTATTATCCCTATTTAGTAAGGGCAAACCCTCCAAATCCCAGCTATGCCAATAGCCCACTAACAGAATCCTGAAGTCAGCTGGTTGACTCAGCAAGTCTGGGGGGCCCCATTGCTGCTGTTGGGCCTTTATACACTGCAAGACCAGACACAGGACTACAGACATGCCTGACTTCAGTGAGCACAGTAGGAGATGAACTGAGGATAATTCACTGGTCTGCCCAAGAAGAGGGAGAGGGCATATTTTAGGAAGGGGGCTCATTCTGTCTGTTCAGCAGAAGGGAGAGGACTCACCACCATGTCCTTGTGTCCACACATGCATTAGCAAACCCAACAAAAATTGAGATGAGCCTTGTACTTTTTTTCATCAGAAATGTTTGATCTGTATTTAGATTTCATAAAATTTATAATTAAGAGCAGATTCATATGCTCATGTTGTTTCAAAAATACTTAAAAGTTTTCCAATGACTATATCAAGTAGATTTTAAAATAAAATTCATTTAAGTAAAAACATCCAGTTCCTCCAACATGTCCAGGGCATACCTGACCACCATAAGTAGCCAGGTATACTGGATGGTAGGGTCTTGAAGATGGCTACCTTGCTGTCTGATGCCTCTCATGGGCACCACTGGTATATCTTGAAATGAGATGTGAGTTTCACTTTGTAAAAATATTCTTTTTAAAAAATACATGTTTTTTTTAGTTGTCAGTGGACCTTCATTTTATTTATACGTGGTGCTGAGAATCGAACCCAGTGCCTCACACATGCTAGACAAGCACTCTATCACTGAGCTATGACCCCAGCCTTAAAAATATACTATTAAATTAAGGTGAAGTTTAATACAACATAAAGTTTTTATTCATAGGCAAATGATTTAGTAGCATTCAACACATTCACTAGAGGGTGCAACCATCACCTTTATCTTCAAAATATTTTCATAAAAGGAAGCCCTGTACTCATTAGTGGTCACTCCTTACTTCACCCTAATCCTTCCCTTAAGCACCTTTCCCCCTACCTCTGGCAACTGCGAATGATTTGTCTTTATAGGATTTACCTATTCTGGACATTTCACACAAAAGAAATCCTACAATATTTGTCTTTGTGTCTGGCTTATTTCACCTAATCCTTAAGGTTCATCCATCAGAACTACACTCCATTTCAGGTTGAATAATATTCCATTCCATGGATACAACACATTTCTATTTATCTGTTCATTTGTTGCTGGACACTTGAGCTGTCTCTACCTTTTGGTTATTGTGAATAATGGTGCTGAGAACAATTGCGTACATTTACCTAGGAATGGAACTGCTGAGTGATATGGTAATTCTACATTTAACCTTTTGAGAAACCACCAGATTGTTTTCCACAGAGGCTGTACCATTTTACATTCCCACAAGCAGGCACAAGGGTTCTAACTTCTCTACATCCTCGCTGACACCTGCTATCTTTGTTATTACAGCCATTCTTAAGTGTATGACCGGCACCACTTGTCCTTTACCCTGACTGCATGTAAACATGCCTACTCCTCTGCCTTCAGTAGACCTCTCATCACTGTAGAGGCCTGAGCTGCCTTCAGTGCTGAAGCAGCAAACAGGACCTGAGGTTCTTATAAAGGCCCAGAAGACCAATGTCTCACTTCCAAAATTTTAGTAAATATTTATTTAGCACTTTTAGATTAATCTCCTAGTACTCTATTATTTAAGAATAATCAAACTAGTAAAAGAGTAAGATTAATGGCATTATTAACATGATAATTATCCTCAATGAGTTCATTCTAACATTCTTCTTCACTTCACTAGTCTGTCTTCCTCCACACTGGTCCCTTGAAGAATTCACCTCTCATTCTGGTCCATAACCCCCAAATGTAGGTCCCCATCTGCTTTTCTTTAAATGGCCCCATGCCCCAAAATCTTAGAGCTGACTAGTTTCTTTACGCTCGGAATCTCCTTACATTCTACATAACTGCTCTTATTTCCCACATTTAAATACTTTCCTTGGAGGGTACTTCTAGGAGGCCTCAGATCTAAATCTTGGGGCATTTAATCTTCAAAACTACTCAAGGGTTCAGAGTACACAGATCTTTCAAAGCCATCTCTGATACCTGGGCCAGAATGGGGGGCGGGGCAGAGGGGTCAAAAGGACAGAGGAGAAATGTTCCCAGAATGGACTTCACAGGTCCCTAGCTAAGGACAACACCCTTGGACAAGTAGTCTGATAATTTGCTTAGTATTTGACTTGTTTTAACATTTTGTGACTTTTTATAACAAGTCACTATTGTGGTGGTATAGTGTGCACACAGTAACTCACCGCTTGATATTACATCTCCCTGAGCCACTGTAAACCCCTATACCCTAGGCACCCTATTCCCCTTCACCTCAGCCTATGATGTTCATCTTGTGTCCATCTTGTCAGTGTTCAGAATGCCATTACAAAGAATCATATAGCTTGCAGCCTTGTGTCTGTACTTTCTTCCCTGAGTATGTAGGCTTTGACATCTGGCCAGACTATTTCATGATGCAGGTGACCACACATCTGTCCATGTTCATGTGGGTGTTCCCAGGGTTTGGCAATTAGATAAAAAGCTGCTGTGAAAATCTGCATGCTTCCATTTTTCCTTGGTTGGCCCAAGAGTGCAGTGTCAGGCTGTGTCCATACTGGTACATGGTGTCCATGCTCACCAGCAGTGCA